CGTGAAAAAGACAAAACAGGAAAACGAAAGCTCTTGCTAAAAAATAATTACCGAAAAGATTAATTTCACATGTTGGAGAGAAAACTTTCTTATAGTCTTTTGTATAAGAGTCGTTCATAACAGGATGTCTTTTAGTAACGTAAAAACCGTTGTATGCGATGATTACCATAGTCTGAAACGTACAGATTAAGTTGACTGTCGAGTGCGATAGCCAGAGGCTGATTCAGTAGGATTGAGCTACCTCCTGATGTAGCGGTTACACCAGCAATTGTTGTGCCGTTCGATTCACCAGCCAAGAAAAATTGTATTCGATGATTATCTGTATCGGCCACATACAAATTGCCCATCCAATCGACTGCCAGGCCAGCAGGCCTGCTTAACTGTATAGATGAGCTCCCAGGTGATCCACTGATGTCTCCAGCCACCAGATTCCAGTTTGTCGCGCCTAATGTCCAGCGAACGACATTGTGTGCATCTCTATTACCAATCAAAAGACTGTTTGACGAAACATCAAAGTAAAGACCAAAAGGATTATTCAACTGCGTGTTACTTGTTCCTGCTCCGTTACCACCAGTAACTACAGTTCCCGATGACGCATTAGCTTGATAGCACATTATACGGTGATTCCCACTGTCCGCTATGTAAATAGCGCCTGAACTCGAATCAACTGCAACATTAATTGGACTGGACAATTGCGTATTTGACGAACCGAAAGAACCTATCATCACAATGGTACAAAATTTAAATGAGTAACGAGACTTTTTGTTGAAAACTACACATAGACCTTTCTTCTTGCATATTTAAATTGACTAAGGAACATGAGACAATCGACAGAGCTGTTGCCATGCAACTTATTTGCAATCAGATGGACTTTTGCAAAAGAACTGTTTCTAATGAACCTTTAAATTTGACTGTTCCTCGAATTACGCTAAATATTTGACAAAAATCAGTTGATGTATGCATTGTCTATTCTCGAGAAAAAAAAGCAATGAAATATACAACATGCGAGGTGATTTTACTTCGAAAGTTAATAGAATCTTGTCATTTGTACCTATGTTTTCCTTTCTCTTACCAGTAATGCCGGCGACCGTAGTGCCTGACGATGCATTATTAAGCCAAAATTGAACTCGATGATTGTTTGAATCCGCTATATACATATTACCACTTTGATCGAATGTGACACTGCTAGGACGAAATAGATCGCTCGAACCAGAACCTGATCCTCCAGCTGTCTGACCGGCCACTGTGGTGCCAGTTGCCGCACCCGATAACCATAGCTGAATTCGATTGTGATACTGATCAGCAATATACAGTGCATCAGAGTTAGTCAATGCAATACCAACGGGATAGTAGAGCTGGTTAGGAGCAATACCCGTCAGGCCCGTGACGCCGGCAATAGTTTCACCAGTCGAATTCCACCGCAACGAGGTAGGGGTTGCTGAAAAAACATAATATCAAAATGAAATCTATAGTTGTTCAATAGTGAATCAAACGTTTTCTAAAAACAATGTTAATCTGCCATGCTTTCTTTCTGTTGAAACTGTCGCCAATATATTTTGACGAGAACAACTAAGAACGATAGAAACAATCTTTACTTGTCGTAATGCTGGTCGATATTGTTGTGATCTTGGCACTGATGAACACGTCAATCACAATCACCATTGCTGCCAAGCCAAGAACAAGAATGAGGCCAAGAGTGATCAACAAAAGTTTGAGACATTTTCTTTTTCGAATAGAAACGTTTTCTTCTGTTTGACTAGTAGCACACTCAAACGTAACAGTGAATATGAACAAGTAGAAAGGATTGACTATCGAACTCACTTATCGCTTGTCTCAGATCTGGACTGGCCAGTATTGACGATAACTGATGAAGTGGATAACGAGATTTGCTGTTGTTTTGTCTGCATTGATGTTAATTGTGATGAAGGCGATGAGGCGGCATCCGTAGAACGTGTTGATGCTGACCACGGATTCACACGTCGTGAAAAGTGAACGTTGGTAAACTGTGATGTATGATCGCTGGATGTGATCTATGAAGAAGAGAGAACGTTAAGACTGGCGTGCAGTGCATTGTTGAATATTGCTACTTGAGACAGATGGTGATCATGAGCTGATAATCTTGGGACCAAAGACATTTTGATAGCCCAATATCTGTCCATCAAATGAGGCACTCACGTATAATTTGCTTTTATATTTTTTTTGCATCGACTTTGGCGCACGATAATATGTATATGTATTATTTGGTCGGTAATAATGAAGTCATAGAAATAACGAAAACAATCGACATCTGACTTTTTTCAAAGAATATTTCGTCGATGTAACATACAGTATTGTTTACAAAGGTATTGTGTCATTCATTTTTTTAATTCAATTTCACCATCCAGTAGCTATGTTATTGCCATGTGAAACTTTGTTCACAAACAGTAATTTT